GTGTACGGTTTTATGTTATGAAAATATGCCATGTTTACGTTCTGTCGCAAACGGGCACAGCTTTAGATGGACAGGTCAGCATGACTCGTACATATGAACATCGAACAGTTGCCAAGTTAGATCAAACAAATCGGCATCAATATTAGGGCTTCATGCCCGAATAAAGGGTAAAAACTAAAAACCCTCCTTGTTCCTAGCTGTGCTCGTTGGTAGGTATGCACTGGAAATCTACCGGGAGAGAATGCAGGGTAAAGAATAGGTACCTACGGCTTATTGTGAACATGCTATCTGTAACTGTTTTGCCTGCTTTCTGCTGATAAGTCTTTTGTCTGATTGCAGGATCTGTGAACCTTCTTAGGAGAGCAAAAGACCTAAACGACTGAAACAATCAACCACTGCTGCAGGCAACTTGTCATGGTACTGCAGCACTAGAGTACAAACAAACCAAGATGATTGCAAGCAGGGTGAGCCTCAAACTGTGCTGTGGCGCGATTGGCAGGGCTGTCGGCCACTCGCGCCACGCCTCCTCCGCCGCCGGCGCGCTGCGGCGGGGGGCTCCGGCCACCCACCTCCGCGACAGCTACCTCCACTGCGCGGGCTCGGCGCCCCTGGTGCACACCTCCCTGGGCGACGTCGTGGACCGGGCTGCCAGCGAGTTCGGCTCGCAGGAGGCGCTCGTGTTCGTCCATCAGGACATCCGCAGGACGTGGCTCGAGGTCCGGCAGGAGGCCGACCGGCTGGCCAGGGGCTTCCTCTCGCTCGGACTGGAGAAGGGGGACCGGATCGGCATCTGGGCGACCAACATATACGAGTGGCAGCTGACGCAGTACGCCGCGGCCAAGGCGGGCCTGGTGCTGGTGAACGTGAACCAGGCGTACCAGAGTCGCGAGCTGGAGTACTGTCTGCGGAAGGTGGGCGTCCGGACGCTGGTGGCCGCCGCCGGCTACCGGACGTCCGACTACTACACGATGCTGACGGAGCTGGTGCCGGCGCTGGCGGACGGAGAGGCCGGCGTGCCGCTGACGGTCCGCTCCGAGCGGCTGCCCGAGCTGCGCGACATCGTCATGATCAGCCCCGAGCGGCGGCGCGGCGTGCTGCGCTTCGACGACCTGCTCGACGCCGGCATGGAGTCGCTCTCCGGCGAGCTGGAGCGGCGCCAGGCGCAGGTCGACTGTGACGACCCGTGCAGCATCCAGTTCACCTCGGGCACCACGGGCCTGCCCAAGGGCGCCACGCTGTCGCACCACAACATGGTGAACAACATGCACCAGCTGGCGCGCCGGGCAGGTTACGAGCGGGACGGGGTGCGGATCTGTGTGTCGGTGCCTCTCTACCACTGTTTCGGCTGCGTGGCCGGCTCCGTGCTGGCCCCGCTGCACGGCAACTGCCTGGTCTTCCCGTCGGAGGCGTTCGACGGCGAGGCCTCCATGCGGGCCACAGAGGACGAGAGGTGCACCCATATGTACGGCACTCCCACGATGTATGTGGACATGGTGAACATCGCCAAGCAGAAGCGCCACGACCTCAGCTCGCTGTACTCGGGCATCGTGGCCGGCGCGCCGGTGCCCTTCCACCTGATGCGCTCCATGATCGAGGACCTGAACATGCGTGACGCGGTGGTCGGCTATGGTCTGACCGAAACCAGCCCGCTGCTGACAGTCGGCTTCCCGTCGGACGACCTGGAGCACCGCTGCGGCACCGTCGGCTTCCCGCTGGACCACTCCGAGGTGAAGGTGGTGGGCGGCGACGGCAGGACGCTGCCGGTCGGCCACTCCGGCGAGCTCTGCATGCGCGGCTACAACCGCTTCCTCGGCTACTGGGACGACGAGGCGAAGACGCGCGAGTGTGTGAGCGCCGCGGGCTGGTTCCACACTGGCGACGTGGCAACCATGACCGAGGATGGCTACGTCAAGATCGTGGGACGTGCCAAGGACATGGTGATCCGTGGAGGGGAAAACATCTACCCCACGGAGGTGGAGGACTTCCTGATGACCCACCCGGACATTCTGGAGGCCTACGCGTTCGGCGTGCCTGATGACAGGATGGGCGAGGAGCTGGTGGTCTGGGTCAGAACCAGAGAGCTCGGCTGTCTCTCCGAGCACGACGTCAGGAGCTTCTGCAAGGGCAGGATCGCACACTACAAGGTCCCGCGCTATATCCAGTTCAGGGACGATTTCCCCAAGACGGTGACAGGGAAGATTCAGAAGTTTGTCATGCGCAATGTCATGTGCCGTGAGCTAGGGCTGGCATAGAGGCTTTTCAGTTTGTAAACAACTTTTGGCAAAGCACGTTTCTCTTCATGCTCCCGCAGCTGTAAATAATTAGGTACCTACTATCACAGTGTCAACAGACTTGTTATTGCAGCCAATATATGACGTTATATTTTTTCAATGCAGGGTCACGAACTCTTTCATTCGTGTGTATTTGCTCAGTATATGGACGGTTTTGGGGCATGTACCTACGGAACACGGACTAGAAAGTGATAAATAAACAAATGATTGAATGTATGAGACTGCATTTCCCACGAGCCACTGGGGAATGGGCATAAAGCTGCCCCCCTTACATTTTGTGTGATATAGGTATTTCCATAACCTGATAAGATATGAACTTGAAACTTGAACAGCTTTAAATGAATACTTATAGGCCATATTTCATTGAAGAAAGTTCATGAGCGGTTGAAACGTTGAAGATGACGTCACATTGACGTCATAAAATTTTGTTATTTTCCCGATATGAAGCGTTCCTGATGTCACTGAGCAAAAAGCGTGACGTTAAATGAACATGACGGTCCTTATATATATATATATATATATATATATATATATATATATATATATATATATATATATATATATATATATATATATATATATATATATATATATATATATATATATATATATATATATATTAGGGTACGTCACTAATTATATGGTGAAACTAAAAGTTGATGATAAATCTTGAGCATGTTCATTTTTCGGTTCCACTTAGTTAGTAGACGCCGCATACAAAAAATAACAGTCCTCCCGCAAGTGGAAGTGCTGCCTCATGACAATGCATTTATTGGCCAAAGGCTCGATATATCGAAAACTTATGGCGCTCTGAGAATTGAATAGAAAATATTGAAATGTTATAATTCTTGAGCAGGCTCCGGACGTCAATTGGGAAAGCTAGGACAATCCTTGAAACATGTTTTTGGTTCACCCATGGGATGCCTTCACTTCTTCAAGACGGTCATCTACTTCGCATCCGGGAATCTCTTCCCGGTCTTCCTTGACCGTCTGAAGCAGCTTCTGTTTTCCCTACTCTGACTTCTTATTTTACGGTTGAAGGTCATTACAAGCGCCAGTACACTCTCTGCAGTATTATTGACAATCTTCAGGGCCTAGACAGTGCCACGTGCCACCTGGTAGTCGTGGTCCTAAGCCCAGAACTCCAGGTCTCGTCCTAGGAATCCCGTGAGAAAATGACAAGGAAAATGGAGGATTTCGAAGAAGTGCGAAGACGCATTGACGAACCTATCCATGGTCCATCCAGCGATATCCAACGACGGATTTGATCGCCGAAGGCATGGTGGTCCACCGATACCGACGCCAGGTTCATTCAGTTTGTCCACAATGCATGGTGGACAAGCTGAATGAACCTGGCGTCGGTGTCGTTGGCCCCGCTACTGGATGAAGCGCTCCCAAACGTTCCTCTTCTCATTAAGCGTCTTCAAGCCTCCCGCGAAGGATTCCCTCGACTGCGCATGCCGCCCTGAAGGCGAAGAGGATCGTGGGTCTCTTTGAGGCGAGTAATTTGAGAACAAGATCAGAGGAGCTAGCCCTGGGGCTGCGTACCGATGGCGGCCGATAGCCTTCAGCGCGGCATGCGCACATTGTGCAGTCGAGGGAAAACCTTCGTGGAAGGCTTGAAGGCGTTTAATGAGAGAAAGGTCGTTTGGGAGCGCTTCATTCAGCAGAAAAGCCTCCGTCCAGAGCTTAACGTACACAAGCGCAGCGAAGGTGGCAAATTCTTCTACTGATTTAAGATCTTTTGGACGCAGTTGGAGGTAATGGCGGAAAAGGAATATCTTAAGGGTGTATCACTGCATATGACCTTCGACATCCAACGAGCGTGGTGGTCGACCCCCGTCACATCACCGCGGGAGGAAATTCGCCGAGGAAGAGAACACAGCTGAAGGCATCCTCGGATAGTCGTTCCGTGGCCAGAACTTGCCGGCCTGGAGAGCGCGCACGCAGAACACGACTGCGCCTGCTTTCCAAGCCTTTTCCTTGGGGTTGTCGCAAGGCCGAAAGTCCTGCTGGTTGATATGTTGCCATCGTGTTCTGAAGAAGTCCACGAAAATCTTCGAACTCGGCCCTGAAGTCGCCCCGAAGAGCATTTTGAAGACATGGCTGCAAAAAAAACTTCGAGAATATGGTGTCTGCACAGTAGCTCGGTATGTTGGTGTTACTGTGTTTGGTGTTACTCTGCTGTGTTTAGAGGCATAAGTCAAAAGAGTCCTTGTGTGTATGTATTATTTACGATCATGGGCGATCCAGACATCGCGTGGCGATTACGAAGCAAATGTAATAATAGAAAACAAGTAAAACAGAATGGTGCATTGATGCCCAAAGTGACGAAAAGGTCCAAAAATGCCACAACTGAATAAATAACGATACAGGAAGGAACACGTAAGAGCGATTCGCTGCAGCTTTGTCAGCAATAGCATAATACCGGCACCAGCAGAATCTCGAACTTTACCATGATTTGTGACACGCTATCAGCATATTGCCATTATTCCAATTCGTGTAGCATTGATTGGCAATCTCAACTTCGGCATCATTGGCGTTTTACCGGCAGTACAGGATCATATTTTAGATTCCTAGCCGGCTGTGGCAAACGATACTGGCTATGCCGTTAGCAAGTCAATGGGAAATTGCACCCCTGTCTGGAGTGTCATGAGGCAGTGGTAAATGAACACTGAAAACAAATTGATCCGGTGACAGCGGGTAAAACCTGCATTTGAAGGATACCCCTATCCACCACCATTTTTGACCACTCTGGAGCGGATACGAAATATACGTGCCTCGCGGATACTGTTTATCCGTTGACAGCGGGTTAATCCGTATAGATTACCCGATCAAGGAGGGTTACTCGAATCTAAATATCCGCTTCTGCCGGGTACCTCGATCCGTTGACGCGGAGTAAAATCCGCATCTGAAGGGTACCCCTATCCACCACCATTTTTGACCACCCTACACCGGGTATCAAATATACGCCACTGACTGATACTTATTACCCGTTTACTGCAGGTTAATTGGTGCAAACTATAATTTTCGTTAACTTTGAGCATCCAATTCCCCCTTCCCATGCATTCGGTTGCTGTCACATTCGTAAGCACTTAAATATGGTCTTATTTATTTATTTAGTTAGACGTACAACAATATCCACACACATGAATTATACGGGCTAAATATGAGTTAAGGTCATGAGGCCCCGGTGCCTTGCGCCATGCACCACTTCTCCACCGGTCGTTTTGTGTCTGTCAACGTCTCTCCACTTGGCTTTCAGTGGTCGAAACCTCCCATTTCGATTCGTAGGTACGCCTGAAAAAATAGCCCGTATCATAAACCATTCCCACATACACAAAACCGAATTGTGCATTGTCATCTGAGCTTTCGCCTTACTGGATTCGCCGCACGATATGACCTGTGGCCACAGAGAAAAACGATTACGAGTCCACGTGGTCACCCAATAGGTAGGTACCTATATCTACACGAGATGCATTGCAAGAATCATTTGGCCCTAAGTGAAAGGGTACACTCACTCTGTATATCTCTCCGGGTTAAAAAGTTAGTTTTGAAGAGCGTCCTTACCTCTATCCGCGAAATTCAGCAGCCAGAAGTCCACAGCAGACGCAGTACCACAGCCAAACCACAGCGCCGTCAACACAGTCAGGAAGATGGCGTCGCACGAGATTCGTTGCCGGAGGTGCACCGCCGGCAACGCGCATGCGCACGCGCATGCGCGGGAAGTGTATCCGCAGTTGGCGGGTGAATGAATCCACCAGGCAAACTTGACAACCCGGTGTGAGGGAGTACGTGACACTTATCCGCGCTATACATATATAATGAATCCGCCTGGCGAGAGTAACCGATACCTATCAGTCCCGGATTTTCCCCGCTATCCGCCACCGTCGGCTAGCAACTACACGTAAAAAGTGTATCAAGCCCCTGTCAGCGCGGATTTATCTGTTGTTTCCAGATATCGCAAACAGGTACCCTATCTACTCGCATGGTTCTACCCGCACTTGAGTGATTAACCCGGACGTACCTTACACTTAATTTAAGGATAACCCGCCACAGCCCGGCCAATTTGTTTTCAGTGAAGGAGAAAAAACACCAAACTCCACACAGTTAATAGCCATGCTAAAAGTAACCCGAAAAATAAAATGCTCAAGTTCCATCAAACAAATTTGTTTTTTGACGCACCCTAATATATATATATATATATATATATATATATATATATATATATATATATATATATATATATATATATATATATATATATATATATATATATATATATATATATATATATATATATATATTGTTTAACGTTATTGTACTGACTCAACTCTGACTCAACTCAACGCCTTAATATTTTTGTCCGACTCAACTCCGACTCAACTCAACAGCTCAACATTTTATCCGACTCGACTCAAATCTGCCTCATTTGAGTCAGAGTTGAGTTCAATTTCTGACTAGACTCATGAGTCAAGCACAACCCTGCATTTTACTGACTCAGCTCTAACTCAACTCAACGCCTTAATGTTTTTGCCTGACTCAACTCTGACTCAACTCAGCAGCTCAAAATTTTATCCGAGTCGACTCAAATCTGACTCTTTTGAGTCAGAGTTGAGTCAAATTTCTGACTCGACTCATGATTCAAGCACAACCCTGGTCACAGGTCAAAGGTCACTGGGGTCAGGGTCATGCAATTTTCAGAGTAGGTGTAAAATTGAGCAACTCGAGGGTAGGTACTGAAAGTTTCGTTGCGATCGGCCGCTTTTTGCACGAGTTATTCGCGAACTTTTGGTCCATCCAAGGCCCTAAAACATAGGTCCATCCGTTCCTCCTCCCCCTACCGCTCCCCCTACACGTGCCGGAGGGTGGAGTCTTGTTATGCTGACCTCATGACCTCGAATCACCTTTGGTTGACCTAGACACATGAAAGGTGTTACATGATGAATATTGAATTCGTAGCCGCTAGTTACGAATCTGGCATCCATTTTGCTCTATGCATCCATTTAGAGCGTCAGGGATAAGAAGAATACCTACCTAGCAAACATGTCTGAATTATCCCAGCGCCCTGCGCCAGTGATCCTCTTGTAAGGAAAGAGGTCCATAGCTCAGCGACAGCGGATTTATCATCGTGAGCCGGTCCGCTCGTCGACCGGCGGCGGAGGCGGCGGCGGGCCAAGACAGGGAAGTGACGGAAGTTAGGTGACGGGCGCACT